CTCTCCACCTCCTCTCCTCCTCCCCTCCTCCTCCCCTCCTCCTCCTCCTCCTCCACCTCAACCTCTTCCTCCTCCTCCTCCACTTGCTCCACCTCCTCTCCTCCTCCTCCTCCTCACTCCTCTCCTGCTTCCTCCTCACTCATCCTCCTCCTCCCTCATGCCTCCTCCTCCTCCTCCTTCCTCCTCTCCCTCCTGTCTGCCTCCTCCTCCTCCTCCACCTCCTCCTCCTCCTCCTCCTCCTCCTCCTCCTCCCCTCCTCCTCCACCCTCTTCCTCCTCCTCCTCCCTGTCTCCCACCTCCTCCTCCTCCTCCTCCTCCTCCTCCTCCTCCCTCCTCCTCCTCCCTCTTCCTCCTCCTCCTCCTGCTCCTCCTCCTCCTCCTTCATCCTCCTCCTCCTCCTCCTCCTCCTCCTCCTCCTCCTCCTCCTCCTCCTCCTCCTCCTCCTCCCACTTACCCCCCTCGGCGCGCCGCCGACACTCTCGAGGGTGGCACGGTGCATCGACGGGGCTCCGCGCAAGCGAGAGCAGAAGCAGGATACTCCACCACGGGGGCGCCAGGAGGAAGAGGAGGAGGAGGAGGAACTCCGTAGCCATTTTGGTTCAAGCCATTTTGGCTCAAGCCATTTTGGCTCAAGCCATTTTGGCTCAAGCCGCGTCGCGCGCCCCGACCATCTTGGCTCAACCAGGCATGGCATGGCACGTGGCAGGAATGGCGAGGTTCGGGCAAGGCGCGCCTACGCAATGGTGTGCGAAGCCCGTCGAGGAAACCAGCATCTCATGGTCAAGAGCAGTCCGAGCGGCACGAAAGGGCAAACAGGTACCACTCGCCAGGAGGAGGGGGAGGAAGACCACTCGCCAGGAGGAGGGGGAGGAAGACCACTGCAAACCCTCCTCCTCCTCCTCCTCCTCCTCCTCCTCGTCCTCCTCCTCGTCCTCCTCCTCGTCCTCCTCCTCCTCATCCTCCTCCTCCTCCTGCTCCTCCTCCTCCTCCTCCCTCCTCCTCCTCCTCCTCCTCCTCCTCTTCCTCCTCCTGTTCCTCCTGCTCCTCCTCCTCCTCCTCGTCCTCTTCCTCCCTGTCTCCAACCCTCTTCTCTCCGCCCTCGTGCCTCCTCCTCCCTCGGTTCCACGAAACGGGCAGGCGGCACTGCATTCAGTGGCCCAGACCTTGTCTTTGTCTGACGGCTCCTTCTTCTCCTTCTCAGGGGTCACGTGCTTGCACATGAGCTCCACCTTCGCAGCTCGGCGGTTTATGCTGGCCAGGGGCTCTCCAAAAAGGAGACTGGGGAAAAGAGGTATTGACGATTAGCGAACGAATGCGAAGCTATGCCGCAAGCTCAGTCGGGTGCCTTCGTCCGCGTCGCCCAGATCTGCAATACTATATATTGGGCCTCAGTAGTGAAAGACGGGTGGCTCCAGACTCAGGCCCAATAAACCTTCGTGGAGGCCCTCCCTTCCAACACGCTCGAAGATGGTCCCAGATGATCCCGAGGGCCTGTCATGGACTTGGAGGCCTCCTGTGCTGGATTGAACGATCTGGGGGCCAGCCCAAGAAGTCAACATCTGATTCAAATATGTTAGCCAGTGTGGACCCCAAACAGTGTGTGTGTGTGTGTGCAACCTGTGTGATGCAATATATGGGGCGCCGTGGGGCCTGCTCGCGGGGCGTGGCCTCCGGAGATCCCCCGAAGTGGGAGCCTCTGCGGAGGGGGCAAGAGCAGACGGGCTCCGCGCGGTCCTGCCGGGGTGCAGGTTGCAGTTCTCCGAATTATTCCCCATATCCTAAGATGGGGTTCTTGTTATTACTTGGACGCCTCCTACTCCTTCTTCTTCTCCCTCCTCCTCTTTTCTCCTCCCCTCCTGTCGGATTTACTCATACTCACATGGTCCTGCCAGGGTGCAGGTTGCAGTTCTCCGAATTTATTATTTTGTCCAGGGTGGCGACGGTGCGAGGCAGGGTGCCGGGAGCGGAGGGCGAGCACGCTGTGCTGCGCCAGGAGAACAGGCGGTAGTCGCTCCGTGGCTCCTGCACATAGCGGAGAGGGAGGAGAGGGAGGAGGAGGAGGAGGAGGAGGAGGAGGAGGAGGAGGAGGAGGAGGAGGAGGAAGAGGAGGAGGAGGAGGAGGAGGAGGAGGAGGAGGAGGAGGAGAGAGGGAGGACGAGAGAAAGATGAGAAGGAGGAGGAGGAGGATGCGGAGGAAAATGACGAGCTGAAAGAGGGGGAAGCACATGGCGACCGAGAAAAAGGAGGACACGGGAGATGAGGAAAAAGGAGAGAGAGAGAGAGAGAGAAAAAACAAAAAAAAAAAAAAAAAAAAAAAAAAAAAAAAAAAAATGGGGGAGGGACGAGGAGGGAGGAGGACGAGAAAAGGAGCGGGGAGCGCCAGGAGCAGGCAGCGGAGCAAGCAGGCGATGAGGGGACAAAAAAGGGGAGGGAGCAGGAGCACTCGCAGGGGCGAAGACGGCGAACCGGGGCCTGCGCGGAGGGCAGGCCGATGGTCCGGGACGGGCGGCCGAGACAGCCAGGGGCCACAGCGGAACCAGGGGGGGCTAACCCGCAGCGCCGACCATGCCGAGGTCAAAAAGTTGGGACTGGAGGGGGAGCGCTGGCTCGTGGGCGAAGGGGACCGGGCTGGCCGTGGGGGAAAGAGGGGGGCGCGGCGCCAGCGCCGTGCCGAAATCAAAGGGTCGGGCCGCCGGGGGGCGCGCTGGCTACAGCGCCCCCCCGGCGGAAAACACAGCGGAACCCGGGGGGCGAACCTTAAGTCGGGCCTGTCCCCCTACAGGGGGATTTTCGACGGAAAATAAAAGATACCCAAAAAATACCCCAGAAAGGTCAAAAAATACAACAAAAAAATGATCCCCAGACTATTTTTGGACTATGTTTGGACCATTTCGGGGGTATTTTTTGTGTTTCGTCGAAAATCCCCCTGCAGGGGGACAGGCCCGACTTAAGGCTGACCCGCAGCGCCGACCATGCCGAGGTAAAAAACGTTGGGGCTGGAGGGGGCGCGCTGGCTCGTGGGCGAAGGGGGCCGGGCTGGCCGCGGGGGAGAGGAGGAGGAGGAGGAGGAGGAGGAGGAGGAGGAGGAGGAGGAGGAGGAGGAGGAGGAGGAGGGAGGAGGAGGAGTGGTGGTGGTGGTGGAGGAGGAGGAGGAGGAGGGGGAGGGAGGAGGAGGAGGAGCGCGGCGCCAGCGCCGTTCCGGGCCGCAGGGGGCGCGCCGGCTGGCGGGCGGGGGGGGGAGCTGGGCTGGCGGTCGGGGGGAGGCACGGGCGCGGCGCCGGTGCTGTGCCGGAAGGGAAGCGGTCGGGGCGGGGAGGGCACGTTGGCTGGCAGGCGGAGGGCAGCTCGGCTGGCCGTGGTGGGGGGGGGAGGGCGCGGCGCCGGTGGTGTGACAATTTAAAAAACAAAGCAAAAAACAAGAAACAACAAAAAAAAAAAAAAAAAAGTCCGGGCGAAAAGAGAGCGCTGGCTGGCTGGCGTGCGAGGGTGAGGTGGGCTGCCTGTGGGGGCGCGGGGGGGCGCGCGGTAGCGGTGCCGTGCCAAACTATGATGGTCGGGCAGAGGGGGCGCGCCGGCTGGTGGGCGAGGAAGAGCTGGGCTGGCCGTGGGGTGGCAAGGGGCGCGGTGCCGGTGCTGTACTGAGGGTGGAGGCGCAGGGGGCGCGCTGTCTGGCGAGCACGAGCTGGGCCGGCTGTGGGGCGGAGGGAGGGCGACTGACTGCGGAAAGGTGGAGGGGGGCCAGCGCGGCACAGGTGACGTGCCAAAATAAAGGGGTCGGGGCGGAGGGAGCGCGGTGTCTGGCGGGGGAGAATGAGGTGGGCTGGCTGCGAAGGGGGGGGAGGGGGCGAACGCAGCGCCCGCGCCGTGCCGAAATCAGGGTCAGGGCAGAAGAGGCGCGAGGTGGGCTGGCTGCGGGGGGTGCGGGGGAGGGCGGGGGGGGAGGAGGTGGACGGGCGCGGTGCCAGTGCCAGTGCCGAAAGGTCGAGGTCGGGGCCAAGGAGGCGCGCTGGCAAGGTGGAGATGAGGAAGCGGGCTGGCTGCGGAGGGGGGAAGGGGGCGGGCGCAGCGCCGGTGCCGTGCCGAAATCCGCTGGCCCTGTCGGCGTGTGCGAGGAGTTTGTCTGTTCGAGTCGTCGTCTCCGTCAGTCGTCGTCTGCGTCGTCCCCTCTCACTGCACTCTCCTCAAGCCTGTCAGCGAGAGAAAAGCCTCGCACTGTCGCAATCGAATCGAAGGGAAGCCCCTTCCCTTTGATCCCTCCCCCGTTGGGGGGTGGGCCCAGGGGGGAGGGGGGAAGGGGGGTCCTGGGGGGGAGGGGGGGCAAAACAAGCCAAGAGTGCCCCAAGAGGCCCCCGAGACGGTCCAAGAGGGCCCCCAATCGCCGAACGATCGGCACAAAACGCCTTCACGCTCCCAGACTGCCCAGGAGACCTCCAAGACGCCTCCAGAGCACTCCCGAGAGGGCCACAAGAGGCAAAAAAACAGTGACGTTCCTACGGGTTTTGACAGAATTGGGCGTTCTCGCCTTTTCCGCTTTCCGCCGCTCCAACACGGCCGACGAGGCCCTCAAGATCGCCCCAAGACGGCCCAAGAGGCTTCCAAGAGCGCTCCAAAACATCCCAAGAGAACCCCAAGACAGCCCAAAACGCCTCCAAGACGGCCCACGAGGCCCCCAAGACGGCTCAAAGAGGGTGCCTTGACGGGGAACCCGAACGGACAGTTCGAGCCCTCGGCCCCGAGAAGCTCCCAGGAGGCCCCAAGAAGGTTCCCAAAAGGCCCCAAGAAGCCCACAAGGGGCCCCCAGAACACCCGAGAAGGCCCCCAAGAGGCCCCCAAGAGGCTCTCAAGAGACCCCAAAAATCCTCACAAGAGGCCCCTGAGAGCCTCCCAAAGAGATCCCAAGAAGCATCCCTGAGGACTCGGGCCCACGTCAGCGTCGTCGTCATCGCCGCCGCCACCGCCGCCGTCGTCGTCGACGTCCCCCTTCAGGGTCGGCGGCACCGGCCGTGAAGGAGAGGGCACGCTGGCTGGCGGGGGAGGGGCAGGAGGGCTGGCTGCAGAGGGGGAACCGACGGCGGACTGGTGCCGTGCCGAAAGAAATGGGTCAGGGCGGAGGGGGCGCGCCGGCGGCTGCGGAGAAGGGCGGAGGGGGGACCAGTGCCGTGCCGAAATAGCATGGTCGGAGTTCTACACGTCGTTCATTTCTATTCGTGCTCACTTCTACTTGTGCTCGTTTCTAAGTGTTCCGGGCCCCCTAGTGGCCAGGAAGAGGCCCAGGATGGAACAATTCGAAATGAAGGATTTTGGCCCCCCAAAAACTCAAAGAACCTTCGAAGCATTAGAAATACACAAAGTGTAAACACATGTTTGATCCGCGGGTCGAGAGCGCACCTCTTCCGGTCGAAGCTAAGCGGGCCGCGCGAAGCTTGAATTTGGCAGAGGGAGGGGAGGAGAAAGCGGCGGGGCCTCAGGGCGAGGCCGAAGGGAGGCAAAGCCCCAGAGACAGGCGGTGCCGAAGCCGCAGGTCTTGCAAAGGAACGCACAAACTATGCAGGCACATCTGCTGCGCAAGAGGACAGGAGCAGGCCTCTCGACCGCGCACGGGGCCCGGCGACGGACCCCCGAGGCCGCAGCCGGGAGAGGAGGAGGAGGAGGAGGAGGAGGAGGAGGAGGAGGAGGAGGAGGCGGGGGGAGGAGAAGAGGAGGGAGGAGGAGGAGGGGGAGGCGGAGGGAGGAGGGGAGGAGGAGGAGAGGAGGAGGATGAGGAGGAGAAGGAGGAGGAGGAGGAGGAGGAGGAGGAGGAGAGAGCAGGAGCAGCACCGGAGGCCGCCGCCCCTGCGGCAGCAGACCCCCCCCAGGAGCTCCTCGCACCGGGGCCCACGACGGCGGGGGGCCACGACGGCGGGGCACCCGCTTCGGAGGCCTGGGGCCCGTCAACTGGGCGTTGGCTCGAGTCGGGCCCGTCCTCCTACAGGGGGATCTTGGGAGGGAAAACATCAAGAACAGTCCACAGATGCCCCCAAGTGGTCCAGAAATCCTGAAAAAATAATCCCCTGACTATTTATTGTATTAAATTTCTGGGCGGAACAAAGGGTCCACTTTGTTTTTGGAGGGCTTGGGCTACAGCGTGACAAAGGGGGAACTTGGGAGGAAAAATATAAAAGAGTCCACAGATGCCCCCAACTGGTCCAAAAATCCTGAAAAAAAGTCCCCAGACTATTTTTCTACTATTTTTTTGAATCTTCCTCCTGTAGAGGGACACGCCCGACTGAAGCGCTGGCAGGAGGGCATCGAACCCTTACAAAACAAGCTGCTGTGGCCAATGCGACGACGGATGTCTGCTGGGCCTGCGCAGGATCCGTCAGCATCGACTCGGGCGACCCGAGCGGATCGGCGTCGGATCGGGCCACGTCGGCCCTGGAGCCGACACCGAGCCCGGATCGGCCGCGCCTGGGTGCACAGCAGCGCCACGCACGCATCGGGCCGCACCGGGTCGTCGCCGGATCGGGCCAAGCCGAGTGGAACAGAGATCGGAGAGAACGCGCGTCGTCCCAGACTCGGGAGCGGCCAAGAGTGGGGTGTCCAAGAGGGGGGGGTGCAAATCATGACTGGCGGCATGTGCGCGGCCCAGCGGGGGGGCCAGGGACGTGATGAAACAAGAAGAGGCGCCATGAAATCTGGGGAAATATCATGGCCCACGCCATGATATCCACACCCCCCCCTAGTCATCACCCCCTTCATTTCTGCCCCCGACAGACATGCGACGTCCTGTTTTTGTCAATACGGGGCCCCTGGGTGTCCCGACCCTTTCCCCGGGACCGCTTTCTAATCCTGAATCGTTTCTGGACGGTCCCGAGGCCCAGCGAGGGCCCCCCGAGGCCGAAAATGGCCAAAAACCTCCCTCCCTGATTCTGTAACGACGCGATCATGTCTGGGGTAGCGGCTTGCCTGGAACAAACCCCCATGGACACGTCGGAACCTTGGGGGGGGCCCAGAACATTCGAAACACCTGGAGAACTGGCCCGCCCCTCCCCCCCCCACTGACACGGGCCTCGCTATGTAACCGCCCCCCCTCTTCCAGGGGGGGAGGGGGAGGGTGTCGAATCCGGGGTATCCCCCCCCTGTCCAGCGCCCACAACACGCTCCTGCCGATGTCGAGTATCGACTCGGCAAGATCGAAATTGACCAACTACTGAGCCCCTGACCAAGTTGGACTTCGCCTCCCGGACGGTTTCCGCATTCCAGTAGCTGCCAGCAGGCTTGAAGCCGCCCGCCTCTGCAAGACCGTCGCCTGGGAGCCGCACGTGCCGGGGGGAGGCGGCTTCGGCGCGCGTGGGAATAGCAGGCAAGGGTCGCCGGGCGGGGTGGCACGATTTTTTGCTACAGGATGGATCCCCAGCAGCCCTCTGAGCGGAGGTCGTTTGGGAAGCTTCCGCTTCCAGCCTCTCTTCTTCCCCTTCGGGGAGGGGCTTACCATGCCCCCCGCCCCGTGCCCAGAGAACACCCACAGGGCACCCCAAGAGAGCCCAAAGAGACGATGTGTAAGGCTCCGACGGGGCGGAGCTACTTGAGGGCCCCACACCCTTCATCTAATCAATACCCTCCTAGATGATCTCAAAGACGCCCCGCCATTGCCCCCAGGAGGGCCCAAAGAGAGCCCCAAAGGCATCCACCAGAAACTGGCCCTAAGAAGTTCCAGGAGGCTCCGAAATCGAAAGAGGCGCGAAGGCATAGATGCTTGATTCCTGGGCCTGCTCAAGCTGATCCGGATCTTCGGATTTACTATTGATCTCCTCCTTGTGCAGCTGCGTGCTTCAGCACTTCCTTGATCAAGGCAACTCGCATGGGCATCGGTTCTGGATGCGCTGGTGGGGATACACAACGCGTCACAAATACATATGTTACGGCACTTTCTCGCGAAGGTGCGCTTCCTTGGTCAAGGTTCAACATCTGACGTGAGCACCGGTAGAAAGTATTCGCACTTACCTCTGGCATGATCAGCTACAGACATCGAGCAATGCAGGACACATTCCTAAACGACATAATCAAATGATGTTCACTTATTGTCTCCAGGGGGAGCTCAATCTGAGGCCACACCGAGGTGACACAGCGTGCCCCTGTTGAGCATGCTGGGCATGGCCATCGCATCAGTGCAAATAATATCTGAAATGCCTCTTGGCGGTTGGCCCGCCACCCCTATTGTACGCCCGGCATACCTTTCAAATCTTCTGAAATATCCCACCACTGCCATGGCTTCCTCTTCTGTCTATCTTAACTGTCCTCCGAGTACATCTTCGTGCAATACCTGCGCTACCACATGACCACGGATCTCTTCGCGGCAGGCCCTTACCGCTATAGGATAAGCATTCGACCTGTCTGGACATCAAGAAAAGCTAAAGACAATAGTCCTGGCGCCAAAAGCAATAAGGCGTTCTCCACTCGGACGTTCACCTCTGCAGCTCCTTTCAAACTGGCCTTCACGGTCAGGTGCAGATCCTGCGAGAGCAAGGCAACAAATTCTGGAACGTCCTTCTCTTCCTTGCCCTCATCCTCCTCTTCCTCCGATGCCGCCTCCTCCTCCTCCTCCTCGCCTTCACCATAACCATTTTCATTATAACACTGTTATCATCGACGTCACGATATCTATGCGACACTCGTTCCGTGTCAGCTGCACCATCTCCTCGTTTTCTGCGTAACTATGCTCGGTTTCAGCTCTCAGCTGCGTGGGTACCTCCCACTCCTTGCAAAATCGGCCCGACTAGCGCTCCAGATGGGCCGTCTGGTGCACCGAAGGGGCCCAGCCGTACGTTCATCGAGAGGCTCGCGCGCCCCACTCCTGGAGGTGCACCGTGGCCACGCACTTGCACGCGCTGCTCATCCCCAAACCTGTGTGCACTTCGAGCCCGGGCCCAGCCCAACAGATTCTGAAACACTCCGCCCCGTCCGCACCAGTGTCTCCCACGCCCGCTAACCTGCATGCACGGCGTTCCGCTCCATACCCTCCATGTCCTCCTCCTCCTCCTCCTCCTCCTCCTCCTCCTCCTCCTCCTCCTCCTCCGCCTCCTCCTCCCTCCTCCTCCTCCTCCTCCTCCTCCTCCTCTCCTCCTCCTCTCCTCCTCCTCCTCCTCCTCCTCCTCCTCCTCCTCCTCCTCCTGCCTCCTCCTCCTCCTCCTCCTCCTCCTCCTTCCTCCGCCTCCTCCTCCTCCTCCTCCTCCTCTCTCCTCCTCCTCCTCCTCCTCCTCCTCCTCCTCCTCCTCCTCCTCCTCCTCCTCCTCCTCCTCCTCCTCCTCCTCCTCCTCCTCCTCCTCCTCCTCCTCCTCCTCCTGCCTCCTCCTCCTCCTCCTCTCCTCCTCCTCTCCTCCTCCTCCTCCTCCTCCTCCTCCTCCTCTCCTCCTCCTCCTCCTCCTCCTCCTCCTCCTCCTCCTCCTCCTCCTCCTCCTCCTCCTCCTCCTCCTCACTCCTCCTCCTCCTCCTCCTCCTCCTCCTCCTCCTCCTCCTCCTCCTCCTCCTCCTCCTCCCCTCACTCCTCCTCCTCCTCCTGCCTCCTCCTCTCCTCTCCTCTCCTCCTCTCTCCTCCTCTCTCCCTCCTCCTCTCCTCCTCCTCCTCCACCTCCATGTCCTCCTCCTCCTCCTCCTCCTCCTCCTCCTCCTCCTCCTCTCCTCCTCCTTCTCCTCCTCCTTCTCCTCCTCCTCCTCCCCACCCCCTCCTCCTCCTCCTCCTCCTCCTCCTCCTCCTCAGTCCTCTACGAGACCACCCCGTACGGCCAGGGGCAGGTGCAGGCCCTGCATGGCCTGCTCGTTGAGCTCGGCCTTGCGGATGTGGATCGTGACCTCCGAGGGCATCTGAATCCTCGGGGCAAGCGCACCAAATGGAGGAGTGAACATATTGGGCCAGGCGAAAGGGGGGGAATGGCAAAGGGGGGTTTGAGAATCAGCTCACGTAGCTGACTTCCCTGGTGCCTCCCGGCGCTGGGAGGCGCCCACGTATCGAGGAATGGGCCCCTCGGTGGGGCCGAAACCGGCTGCACGCAGCAGATTTCGTACCCCCCCCTTTCCCTATCCCACCCTTTTCGTTCGGCCCGAATGGAGGAGCGAACATAGAGCTCAGGAAACGCGGTGGTCGCACGTGATGGGCGTCAGCCTCGACAAGTGCCGAGCCCAGGCAGGAAGTCCAGCAGGCACACAGGTTACCCAGGGGCGTACCCAACCCACCCGAGCCGCACGGCAAGACGGTGTGGTGGGTCCGCGTGCGTCCGCCTCCCGCCAGATCTTCCAGAGGGTAGCCACAGCAGCAAAATTGCGCAGCTGCCAGCGCCCAGAGAGGCAAGCTCTCATTGGAGTCTGCAAGACACCACCCCACTGGACCTCCCAGGAGCTCACGAAAGTCGCGGACGCTGCGAAGTTGGCAACGCCCAGGCTCTGAGAAGGGGGGCTGGATCCCGCCTGGCCTTGTAGACTCTCAGGGCTGCGTCGTAAGGTTTCGGCTTCAGGCTTCGGGCCTAGAGCTTGAGACATCTTAGGTCTCATACATTAGGCCCTCGGGATTCGGTCTTAGGGGGTCGGGATTGAAGCCGACGCGTCAAACCGTCAACCCGACAACGTCCTCTTGCTGTTTTGTTCAATGATCTGGGGCGACCTCGCGCCCACGCCTGCGACGGCCAGTTTGACTGCCTACCAGACCACCCCAACCCAACCCGAAGACCCGAATTTCGGGTGGGGGGAGGTAAGGGTCCCACATGGGTTCTTCGATGTTCCCCGACCCCGCCCCCCACTGGAGATCGAGGGTAAAGCTGAGCCTTCGGGTTGGGTTGGGGTGGGTTGGTGGGTGGGGACAGTTGGCGCGCCGTTCGCTGCTTCCTGCGCCGCGGCGCGCGCCGCAGCAGCCGCGGCCGAGGCGATAGGCGGCAGAACGACGGGAGGGAAGGGAGGGAGGGGGAGAGCCTGGGCACTCCGCCGAGGAGCAGAGCAATGAAGGGGCCCCAGGACACACAAAGGAATACAACAAACAAAGATATGTCCCATGTGTTCCCATAGTTTCTGGGTTTGTGTCTTCCCACCCACTTCCCACATTTTCCCATATTTTCTGGGAAGTCGGCGATGAATTGTGTCTGTGTGTTTTTTCCCCTCCTGAAGCAAGCACGTTTGGGTTACGGGGACCGTATGCAACGGACACAGCGAGCGGCCTCGGCTCTGAATCTGCATGATTGCACGGCAAGCCCTCACGTACGATTCAGGATGGAATAACCGCCTCCAGCCATCCATGCGCATGACAAGTGTGTCCTACTTGTGGTGGAGGCCATAGGCTTGCTTGGAAGAGCTCGCGTTTTACGACTACATGGCCTTGTCCGCCACCACGCCGAAGGCGCAGTGAAGTGTCCTCGGGTCCTCAACAGTCCTACGTCTTGAGCAGATGCTTCAACATGGAAGGTTGCAATCTCTCTTGCGAGGATGGTGGTCCCCCACCTGCCGAGATTGCCAAGCGCTCTCGCCCGCTCCTCAGGTGCCACGTGCAGGCTTCTCCCAGGTCCAGCGAAGGTATTTCAGAATCCGGATTTGCAGCATGCCCAGAGATGGTCCCACAGGTCCGTCCTGTACTGGAGCCGTCTTGCAGGCCTTCGGGCCAGACCAAGACGGACAACTCTTGCAGACAAAATGCAAGGTCGTTATGAGTTCCGCGTCCCTGCTTTCTGTTGCATGTTAGCAAGCGTGGACCCCGAACATCAAGGTACGTATTGCACTGTGGATGTGTAAGCTGTATGGCGCCAGCTATATAGTGCAAGCTCTGTGGTACAGTATACGTGGTGCAAGGTAGAGGTGGCCACGGGCGGCAACGTGGCGAAACCTCGCTGGACCCACCCAGCGCAGGCGCTCACGGGGCGGCCACGGGCGGGCGGCAACGTGGCGAAACCTCGCGGGACCCGTCCAATCCCTTACTAAGACAAATAAGAACACCTAAGTGCAAGCACTGTTTGGGGAAAGAGCGTCCAAGAAGGCCCGAGTGGCCCCGATTTCGCTCCAGTACGACCCCCGAGGCCCCCAAGAGAAGCCTCAAAAGGCCTCCAAGACGGCCCTAGGAGTGCCAAAGGAGAGCGCCACCGAGAGACTGCTGGAAGACCCCCCCTTCAAGATGGACCCAAGCGACCAGACTGGCCTCCAAGAGGCCCCCGAGAGCCCCCCAAGAAGCGCCCCCCATTCAGAAGGTGTTCTGCCGCCTCCACCTGTGATGGAAGTTCGCGCCAAAGTGTCGTTACTGCGTCTACCATTCGGTGGCATAGCTCCGGTAGGTGTGCTTGCACGTGCGCTTTGGTGAACTCTGCAAACCTTTCAGTGCGGCCGAGAGCAGTTGCGCGGCCTCGTCCGCGCACACATCGGCCTCTGCGCGGGGCCCCCTGCACATGCTGTTCCAATTCCAAGGGCTCCTAACTTCGCGCTTCGCGCTGCGCGAAGCGCGAAGCGCGAACGACTTCGCGCTCACGCGCCGCCCCCAGAGGGGAGAAGAGGAGGACGAGGAGGAGGTGGAGGAGGAATGAGGCCCGCGAAAAGCGCGAAGCGCGACAGACCTCGCGCCCTCGTGGGAGCCCTTGAACTCGGGAGGGCGCGTCGCGAGCAGTGCTTGTCGCCTCCTTGGCGCCCGCGCCACAGGCGCACTGGCCCAGGATGGTTGAAGGGGCCCCAGGACACACAAATAAATACACACAAATAAAAAGATTCCCCATATTTTCCTATATTTTCTGGGGTGTTGTCTTCCCCCCCATTTCCCATGTTTTCCCATATTTTCCTGGGAATCGACGATGAATTGTGTCTGTGTGTTTCTTTCCCTCCTGGATGGTGGCGCGCAGGCCTGGGCCCCGCGCCAGAGCGCGCGCGCCTCGGGCAGCGCCCGCGAGCTGACCGCCGACGGCCTCCCCTCCGCGCGGCCCTTGCGGGGTGCTCGATGATCGTTTACCAGCCTGGAACATATCCCTGTCCCCATGCTGGGCACCTCCCCATCACGATGCCAATCCCAGGGATTCCCTTCTTGTTTGAGGGCGAACCCCTGAGATTGTCATCGCCTTTTGGCGTGTCACTCTTAGGGATAGGGATACGTTCGAGGCTGGCAAATCATCGGCGTCCCCGCGCAGGCCGCCAGCACGGCACGAGGCGCGGCGCCTCGCGGCGCGGTGCGCTGGCCAGTGTGCCGGCTGCGCCCCTTCGCGCTCTCGCCGGCGGCGGGCACGCCCCGCGAACGCGCTCCCCGCGGCGCGCCGGCGTGTGGGCCCCCGATCCCCCATGGGAGATCTAAGTGGTTAGGCTAAGTCCTTGCCAACCTACTTAGCCTGACCACTTGGACCCTACTTGCGCTAACCTGCCCAAGTGGGCGGCTAGCCACTTAGAGATGGTCGAACCACATAGTAAGCGGGCCGCCGATCTCAGCAGAGTCCGGTGTTCCCCACCTCGCAGCCAGCCACGTCTCGCACGGCGGCCCGGTCGCGATGACGAGCACGGTGCCCTCCTGGCACGGCTCGGGCCCCTCGTTCTGCGACGTGTTTTGGCCGGCGAGGTCGCCGGCTGCGGAGTCGGCGCCCCGGGACAGGCCCCGCAGCTTGACGTCAGGGCAATAGCGCTCGAAGGCCCCATCGATGCCATGCACACCGACTCTGGAGCGCATCTTTGCGCCGAGTCCGCTGGCCGGCGGTCTCTGGCGCGGCGGGCGCATTGGCCCCCGCCGCGGCGAAATCCCGCCCGCAGTAGTAAGGGCACCATCGGGGTGGTAGCGGCGGCTCTGGCGGGTCGCGCGCCTCCCTGGTGCGACGCAGCTGTCTGCGCCACTCCCTGCGGTTTGCTGCCTCAAGTTCCGCTCTGTTTCCTCAAGTTCATGCAGCATCGCTCGCTGAGTTGCGCGCGCAACTCGACCCAGGAAGCCGTCGGGCGCGATCCTCTTGTCCAATCCACTGGGCTGTCGCCGATTGGTTCCGTTCCCCACCACGCCCTGCAGCGCGGCGCGCCATCCACCCGAAGTCGGCGCGAAGTTGCGAGCTCCAACCCATCGCTCCTCCTTCGCCGAGCATCTGGAGCAGGGCCAGTGGCCCGCGCGCCAGCAGTCGGCGCAAGCGTACACATGGAAGCGGCGGCCGCTCAGCTTGGATGAGCACTGCTGCATCAGGAGGAGGAGGAGGAGGAGGAGGAGGAGGAGGAGGAGAATGAGGAGCAGGAGGAGGAGGAGGAGGAGGAGGAGGCGTCGTATGTCTTTGCCTCCCGAACTACCCATGTCGAGGCTGCGCCCGTGGCCCCGAGAGCCCCGGCGCCCACCAGGCACGCCGGCTGCTGCGCAGTGTTAGCGGCAGCCAGGCCTCCGCGCAGCAGCGCAGGCGCGCGGCGGCCACCGCGCGGCGGGGCGCAGAAGCCTCTCGGCGCGTGGCTCGGAGCCTGCACGCTTCGGGGGGGGGTGCCCGAGTTGTGCGCGCGCCGCGGGCACTCGTGTCTGTGGTGAGCGACGGCGAGGCTGCTCTGGCCTTCCACCCCGACCGCGGACCCCGAGTGCTTGTGGCCACGCGCAGGCACCGCCTCAGCACCGGTGCCTGTCGCCTGCCACTTGGCTCGTCCGCATGCTGCCGCGCGGGCGCTCTCGCGCCCTCGCTCCATGCAAGGCCACCGGTGATGTGTGGCTCCGCCTGGTAGGGAATTGAGGTGGAACTCGCGGGCTGCCATGATCTCGCGTGCTACTCTTGATTGTGCGTAGGAATGGTCTCGCGCCCCCTTCCCGCCTCGAGTTGCACGAGAAAGGTTGCGTCATCTGCGACAGAGGTGTCGCCAGCCTCAGCTGGATCGGCCTCGGGCGCAAGCAGTCGCTCTGTAGTTGTCAGTGGTTTGGAGGTGAACTCGCGCGTTGCCAGCTGCTGTCGCATTCGCTGTTCCGGCTTCCTGAAGGCTTCGCAGAAGATGAGGTCAGCTAGTCTGGCTTCTGGCCTCTTTCCTTTCAATGGGACGGCAACCTTGTCGCACCCGATCATGCTGAAGTGCGTGGCCGGGTGCGCCTCGGTGGTGAGGTGTTGTAGGTGCTGCTCCAGTCTGTGCCCACATGGCTTCTGGCTCCTGCAGAATGGCGGCGGTGACGCCTCTGAGTGCTCGAGGTGTATTTATGGTATTCAATAGCTGCTAGATGTCATCCTCGTCGTAGGCCAATTCGGGGATGACCAGCTGGCGTAGAAAAATGTGGAAAGCATCTGCGAGGTCGACGGAATACGCTCGTTCCGATGTGCCCTGATGCCGCTGCACTCAGAAGAACGTGCTCACCAGCTGGTTCGCCATGGCACATGACCCGCGTGGTCCGCAACCTGTGGGTGTCAAAATATAAGTGCCTGGTGGCCTTGCTGAGCTAGGCTCGCAGGAAGGCGGAGGCAGTCGTGCTGAGTTGAATGTTGCGGGCTGTTCCAAGGCCTCGGGAGACTGACCCCGCTTTCGGGATCCCCAATGCCTTGCCGTGTTTCCAGAACAATGGTTCTTGGCACTGCAATGCCGCTTTCGTGAAGAGCGGGTGGTATATCCGTACAAGTGGCTTCGCAACGACCTTAACGACCGTTGATCCCAGCCCGTCTCCGCCACAAGCTTTGTCGGGCGTAGCTCGCCTGCATCTTCGACCTTAGACCGTGCGCTCGTCTAGCGCGGCGGCGGCTGCCGCAAGTGGGGTCTTTTGGTTGTAGGTGTCCACGGCCGCCTGAGCTGGCACTGTTACTGGACATGCCTTGTCTGCGAAGCTGCGCAGACCTGCCGTCGCCAGCTCTCCTTCGTGCTCGATGAATTGGCCTTGAGCATGTGCGTGGTGCGGCAGCATGTCCCCTGCTCCCGCTTCACGTGGCGGCCGCCCCCCATTGGATAGCATGCTCCGGCAGAGGGTCCATTCTGGCTGCGTGGCTCTGGTCTCGACGTCGGTGGCGATTTTTCTTCCTAGTTCCTCGAGGTGTTTGTCGCGGTCGTGCCGCAGTGTCTGTCTGAGCCGTTTGGCTGTTTCGACGAGGAATTATGCGCCTGCATGGCGCATGGCTCGTGCGTCGATCGGCCCCTCGCCGCTCTCGCTTCAGCGTCCAGAAATGCGTCCTCGCAGCGGCGAGCCTGCTGGATAGTTGCCGCCATGCTGCTGGGCTGTCTGGCAAACGTCTCACGATGCGCAGCACGTGTCGCCTGCGTCGCATCTGCCCCATGGTCGTCATCTGGATGTATGGTAGGCAGGGCGTCCAAGCTGTGCGCTCGAACGTGTTGCTGCATGCTTGGGTCTATGAGCTTCGCTCCGTCGGATGATGGCGTCTTAGCCGCTGCGGCTCTCCTCCGCCTCATCCTCTTCTCCCTCGTCCTCCCCCCCAAATGTTCCCCCAAGGGTTTCCGCAACGGCTGAGGGAACCCATAGCCCAACATCTTGGCCAGACTTTGGCCCAACGTTGGGCCACATAAGCGTTTCCGAAAGGGACAGGGGCGGCGGTGATTCGCCGCAGGCGTCTTCGATAATCGTAAAATAGAGCAATAATGAGCAGAGTGCGCCGAGCAGCAGATTGGGAGCGGCTAATCATAAGGAGAAGGCCAGAGGCCAGGAGCGTGGAAAACAAAAAGCGGACGTCAGTCAATGGCGACGGCGGGGCAGGCCTGACAAATACATTCTCGGGTGGCACCTTCAAGAAGATACCCGTGAAACGAGTGAACTGCTTCCGTGCCTTAGTATGTCCATCCCCCCGATCTGGGCTGACCAAACGCGTGATCCCGACCCTGAGCCAGCTGGCCCGAACCAAGATGGAACACTGACGCAAGGTAAGCGAATAATCCCGTGAATCAGCCGAATATCAACCGATCAATGGATCAGCGGTCCAATATCCACGATCGGACCCCGCCTAACGGATCGTAGCCTTAGTTGCGTGCAAGGGCGTCCATGAAATTGTCCGTGGCGTTGTCCGCGGCGGACACTTCCTGGCCAGGCAGCGAAAGAAAGGCTGGTGGTGGAACACGAAAACAAGGGCACCAAGACGTGCACACGGAAATGTTGCGCACACGACATACAGGCTTTCAAACTCAGCACAGACCGCTCAAATGCAATGGCGCTTGTCATGATATATATATATACCTATATATACATACATACAAATATATATATATATATATATATATGTATGATCATGTCGCTATAAATATTGCTCTCAATTCTATGACATATATAAACCTTCCTCTCCCTCTTTCTCTCTCTCTCTCTCTCTCTCCCCCCCTCTTTCTCTTTGCTTTTCTCTCTCTCTCCCTCTCTCTCTCTCTCTCTCTCTTTCTCCCTCTCTCTCTCTTTCTCTCTCTTCTCCAGAGAGAGCGCCGCCACCGACTACCGGCAGGCTGCGAGCGATTCATGCGCGGAGCGGAACGCCAGCCGAGCGACACCGGCGGGCGAGAGTCGGCCGCCCGCCTCCGAGCGGCGCGGAAGGCGGGCTACGCCTCGCTTCCCGCGTGCGCAGCGAAGAAGAAATGGCTCCCCCTCGGGGGCGAAACCGTCCCGCGAGGTCCAAGGTCGGGGATGGACAGACCCCCCTCTAGTGAAACGTGGTTTAGTGAAAACGACCTGAGGCCCAAACCTGGCGGGCGCAAGCCTGGAAAATAACGGCCACGGTGCCCTCTCGAGAACCGAAAACGGACAATTCACTAATCGACGTGTCACTGTTGGGGGTTCTGTCCACCCCCGACAAAGGTGGGCCCTGCAGCCGGCATCCGACAGAAAAAGACCTCCCCTGGAGCCCTGCCTGAACGCACAACATGGAAGGCGAGGCAAGGCCGCCTGGCGAGGTCCAAGGAAGAGGCCGCGCAGCAGCAATCTGGCACAAGAGCCGCCTCGGAGGCCCCGCTAGATCGCGCAACAAAGAGGGCAAGGCGGGGCCGTCTGGCAGGGTCCAAGGAAGAGGCCGCGCAGTGGGAATCCGACAGCCGCCTCGGGAAGCCCCGCTAGATCGCGCAACAAAAAGGGCAAGGCGGGGCCGCCTGGCACGGGCCGAGGAAGAGGCCGCGCAGTAGGAATCCTACATAAGAGCCGCCTCGGGAAGCCCCCCCTGCCCCCCAGAGAGCGCAAGAAGTGCCAGGCGGGGCTCTCCTCGGGAGGCCGCGGCGGGCACGCCTTGAAATTCGGTTTGCCGTTTCTCGGACTTCCATGTCCCGTGCGCTTGTCGGTTCGGTGCGTGCTTCTTCCCCGATGATCCAGGATGCTCTTCGACGGTCCTTGCCGAGAAAGAAATGTACACATCCGGGCGATGCCCATTTGCTGGTACACTGAAGAGTCCTGAAGGATACCGAGGAACCCTGAGGCCTTGAATATCCTCCAGAAAACCTCAGGAAGCCTGCGGCACTCTCAGGAATTCCTGAGGAGCTCTGGAGAGATCCCGAAGAATCGTGCGAAGTCCTCCGGAATCCTAACGATTTCTGCAGCATCCTGCGAGATCTTGAGGACGCCTGCGGAATCCTGCGGGATCCCGAGGTGTCCTGCGGAAGACAGAAGAGTTGCTCAGAAATCCTGAGGTGTCCTGAAGAATCCTGCGGGGTCCTGCAGGGTCTTCAGGCTCCTTCCGGAACCCTGAGGAACCCTGGAGGATACGAAGGAGCCCTGCGCAATCCTGGGGAGCCCTGTTCCGGAAACGGAGCAGCGGGCAGCTCATTACGCGCAACGCGCTCGGCAACGAGCACGTGCAGGGGCGGAGGGAGGAAGGGAAAGAGAGGTGGAGGGAGGAGGAGGAGGAGGAGGAGGAGGAGGAGGAGGAGAAGGAGGAGAAGGAGGAAGAGGAGGAGGAGGAGGAGGGAGGAGGAGGAGGCGGAGGGCGGAGGACGAGGAGGAGGAGGAGGATACCACAGGGAGATTACAGCAGAACCCTGGTCAGCATCGATGACACAGCTGGTTAGCGACGCCTCCCCTTTCGGAAGGCGGCTCTCAGTAGACTCTGCAAAGGTAGCACCTCAATGTTTGATCGGCAAATATTGACAAAACGTACACATGCTGCGGCCGTGACCCCACCAGGGCGCAAACTCGCACGCGCAATAAACAATTCAACGACGCCAAACAAAAGCCCCAGGGTGGATGAGCTGCCAAAGCTGTAGACATGCTGGCCCTTGCACGGGTGAATCCAAGACAAGAAAACCAACAAAACTAATTTGACAAACTGCCCCACCACAGCCTGAAACATAGAATCTTACGTAGTCACAATTTGCAAGGTTCAGCGTACGGTCGGCCGGCACGACCACCATTTTCCACCCAGTGGCCACCAAACTTGAAGCATGCAAAACCCAGCCCATGGGATCCACATTCAACAACTCGACAGCCTGGAAAGTGGTCGCGACGAACACGAAGCCACGTAGCCTCGATACCCACCTTGGCTTGGCCCAGGAGCACGAGATAACAGGAATGAAAACCAGCCAAACATACTCGACCAGAAACTGCTCGTGGTTTATGTTATTCCCATCCGACTTAAGGACCGCATCCCAGAAATAATTTCGAGCACTCGGAAAAGTGTCGAAACAGTGTCGAAACAGTGTCGGGCGAGTGTATCCCAGGGCCCGTCACGTGAAAACCCTGGACTGTCGGTACTTTCTGGGGCGCTCGAAATTCTTCCTGGTGGTCAAAGCTAAAGTAGGTTGGAACATCATCTCCCGTGGTGAAATCTGTCGACCACGAACGGAGCGCAACCTTCGCCACGCAGAGCGTGCCCCTCAGGCCGCGGGGACGAGTAGGCTACACGCCCACCCTGAGCCCGCTCCCGCTCGGGCACGCGCGCACCCCGTCGGGGCAGGAGAGGCCCACTGGACCGCCTGACCCGAGATGGCTTGAGAGGAGGAGGAGGAGGAGGAAGAGGAGGAGGAGGAGGAGGAGGAGGAGGAGGAGGCGGAGGAGGCGGATAACGGAGGGAGGGAGGGAGGGGGAGGGAGGGAGGGTGGGGGGAGGGAGGGAGGAGGAGTGAGGGAGGGAGGGGGGGTGGGAGGGAGGAGGAGGAGGAGGAGGAGGAGGAGGAGGAGGAGCGCAGCGCAGCGCCTCTCGAGCGTCTCCCGCCGGCCGCGCTGGCGCGCGCCCGACGGACTACGCCGAGGCGCCCGCGCGCCACGATGGCGGGGAGGGCAAGTTGAAGCAAGTGTGGAGGAAGACCCACTCGCAGAGGAAGGGGAGGGGCGCGTCGACGCAGGCCAACTTGCCGCCGACGAAGGAGGCGTCGCCACCGAAGAAGACGCCGTGCCACCAGCCGACCACGGCACGGCAGCGAATCACGACATGGTCGATCAACGCGCCGCGTGGCTGCAAGAGGAGCCCCCCTGCGGGGGCGGCGCTGCAGGGGTACGTCGGGCACGAGGCGCCAGGCCCCGCTCGACACGCCTGATCGCATCTTTCTGGTTGCGGCGCGTGGACTCGTTGGGCGAGAGCCCATCGCACCTCAAGCCAAGCTTCCGCGCTGTGCGGACATCCCCCGCAGCACTGTGAGACCCGCAGCGCCTGCAACAGTAAACACTGTTGCCCCTGAACACGTCGTGCCCAAGCGCAGCGAAGGCGTCCCCAACCTCCTCTGCCAGGGCAGGTGGCAACAAGGCTGCGGGGGCCGAGGGCTGCGAGCTCCCTTCGAGCGCCCAGCCCTCTGGTCGCTGCAGACAACCCAGCCCTCGCCGAAGGCGCGAAGTACTCGGCGTTGAAAGCACTGGCAACACGCGAAGGGCGACATACACGATGAGAGCCAGTTTGCAGCGACTCGAGGGAGGAGCCCGTTGCGGCCGTGACTCCGCATTGGGCACATCGGTACCGCCCGAGGCTGGCGCAGTAAGCAAGGACATGGTCCGTACTGCGTGCCACCACAATGAGCCTGGCCTGCTCGCAAGGTGGCCTGGGGACCTCCACGTCGCATCCCCATTGTTTGCGAGCCACCACCTGCAGTGCCGCCCACGAAATGAACTGCAGGACCTTGCGGTGCTGTTTCAGCGCAGCTGTTACCGCCTCAGCTACCGACCCAGCCAGTGCGCGAGAGGCCGCACCACAGCGCGCGAAGTAGTCTGCCCAGCCTTGCCTAGCCAGTCACGCAGCTCCTGCGGCTCTGTGCCCATAAGCTCCAAGGACCTGTGCGCTGGCGCCCATCGGAACTTGGGAGGCCCCCGCAGAGTGCGCCTGCGGCTGGCCACGAAGATGCCCCGCCACGCAGGAGCATGCTTGGCACGACCCTGCTCGAGCTCGGGACACCAGCGCTCTCGTTCCTACTACTACTACTACTACTACTACTACTACTACTACTACTACTACTACTACTACTACTACTACTACTACTACTACTACTACTACTACTACTACTACTACTACTACTACGACTACTACTACTACTACTACTGCTACTACTACTA